GTCAAGAATATTTAGTTATCGAGATATTCAATTTCGGTTAAAAATTCGTTTATTAGAGACATGTCATAAAGATCCCGTTTAGTTCGAAATTCAATATTTCGACAAAGCGAACTTCTTTTTTGACTAAAACTTTTAGAATATTTCTAGAATCATTAGATCTCTCCATGCACAACATAGTAGATCGAAAATTCATTATCGTAGATTCAATATGAGTTTAAATGGTGAATTACAGCTCGAATAGTACTTTCATAAGCAATCCTTCTTTTTTTGTCAGTCAAAATACTAAGGTGTGGGTGTGGGTGGGTGTGGGTGTGGGATGTGGGTGTGGGTGGGCGTGGGTGTGGGTGGGTGTGGGTGTGAGTGTGAGTGTGGGTGTGTGGGGTGTGGGTGTGGGTGTCGGGTGTGAGTGTTGGTAAAAATATCAAGATCTCGCACCCACACGCACACCCCACACCCAAACCTACACCCACACCCACACCCCACCCACACCCACACCCTATACGATACGAAGAACAAAAAACATTCAATGGTTGTGGTATGTGTCACTATGTAAAAGTGTCCATTTAACTGCACAATGTCAGTTAATTTCATGATAAAAGGTAATCTATACAGAGTATACCTTTGCAGTTTTTCTTTCCCGACATTACCAATTACAAAACAGCATGAATTGCAATTATTTCTTCAAATTATGAATCGCATCTCTTGTATGCATAACACTGACACCAGGAACAGTAATCGACACCCTCATTCTGCATTTAAATCCTAGTTTTGAAAAGAATAAAATAACGAAGCACGACACATCGTGTGCATTTAAAAACCATGATTCGAACCTAGGCTTCAGTGTATCTGACAAGTGTGGAATAAAGATTCTAACATTCCATATTTTGTAAATATTTACGCGGAAATAAATCCTATAATCTTCATTCTTTTTCTCAAAGATGCATCGTAAGAAGCTCTACGAACACTATGAGAACAAATCTCTATCGACTTGATTAGGTTCATTTTTACAGTACAAAGTCATTCATAAAGTTCAGTAGAGTTTTCAATGGCGAATCTTCTAGAAAAAATCAGAACATTATCATTTTCTCAAGTCAAGATATTCTAAAAAGAAATAGGTTATCACAGAGTATTTTTGTTACAATAAATAGCACGAGAGAGAGCTTGGAATACTTGGTAACAATATCAGGCAAATCTTTAATTTTAGCCAAGTAAGCCATCAAACTAAGTCAGTTAAAACTTGTCTGTGTACATATAGTGGAGCTTTTGGCAGTGTACTCATTCTCAGTCGTGTGGTTGACGACGCTCAATGCCTTCTTGTATAAGTAAGCAACTCTGGAGATGGAATATGATGCTGGTCATTTCCGGTTGGTGAGGTTTGTAAAAGAAAGTGGGGGCTTCAAAATTTTGATTTTACATGTATATAAAAGAAAAATCTTCTTTACTAAACAGTAGTTTTCTGAATAAGCTTTGATAGAATCGTATAGTATATATTTTCCTAATGTGTTGCTTGAAGTCTGTTTAATCGATTTTCTCAGTAATCTGACGCATCTTTAACTCTTGTTTCGAGGGATGAAAACCATACTGCCCTATCTTAATTCTGTCACAAGTTTTTCGAAAATATCTTGTGGTTCTTGTTTCAAAACAAACATCGATATAATTGTCGTATACATCGTATAAAAATATTGCTTATCAAGACTTTATATTATAATGACTAACAACAGCATAAAAGACGGTTGTATATAACATTGACATAAAACTAAATTTACTCTTCTATTACTTCAAACATACTGAAGATAATAAAGATAAGCGAGAATTTCTTTTGAGTCATCTGCAGTACATAATATTATAACTTAAAAGAATCATCAACCATATAATATAGAAATATATGGATAAGTAAAATAAGATTTAAATTAACAAAGTTTAGATATTGTTCTTGAGAAAAATTTTATAGTCAAATTCTAGCTGTGCTACATAAACAGTAAATCGTATCAGTTAGATCATTTTGTTAAAGACGAAATTAGTATAAAATAATATTGTTAAATTTTGGTTTTCGGGTCAAAAATATGGTTTTATATTTACAATACAAAAGATTACAAAGACAAATAATAGGTGATATTATATTTACCTGTGCCTTAAACTTTTTCTTCGTTCGTTTTAAAGTCAATAAAATCTGTGGTCTCGCAGTTTTCATTATTAACTAGTCATTCCTAAAATGAAATTCGAAACTCAAGTTGATTCGATTAATGAATGCAATGTTAGCCATCGTAATGTCCATGGGCATCCAAAAAGGTTGATAAATTTAGATTTTAGTTTTATTGATCTATAGAGCGTTATCATCTGAGCAAGATTTGACTACATGAAAAAGTTTCTTTTTTCTCTAGGAAATATGCACAAATAATATGTTTTATATTGATTGTCGTTATGAATTGGAGTTCATGGATCGATTTGAACGGTGTATTTGTTGAACTACCAATAATGATTTCATTTATACCTGAAGGTTGGAGAATTCCATCAATAGTAGGTTTATGTCTTTGCGCTGCCAATATAATGCCTGCTATAGTCATATTTTTACGTTGGTATCAAGGAAAACGTTTTTCTGAAATTCCTTATATTTATATGATTATAATTATTGGTATTGTTTCATGTTTTGTATTGGCTTTCTTCTGGAATAAAACTACCTATTTATTTGGTAGTGAACGAAGTTTATGGTTGATTGGATGTGTTTTCACTTTATGCATGCTTGATAGTACATCATCTCTTGTCTTCTTCGATTATATAAAACGATATCGTGTTCGATATTTAACTGCAGTATTTTTAGGCGAAGGACTCACAGGTATAATTCCTACATTATTATTATTAGCACAAGGCAGTGGAGGTGAAGCAATCTGTGTACAAAGTGATAATGGTACTATGTTAAAACCTACCTTTACTCAACCACGCTTCAGTGTCACTGTTTATATGCTTCTCATTGCAAGTATTATTGTTGCATCACTTCTTGCATTTATTATACTACAACATACAAATATAGTTTCATTAGCTAATGCTGCAGAACCGGTAATGTATTTTCGATAAATAGATTACTATAAAGTTATTTCTCAATTGGTATTAAGTAAATAAACAGTGTTTTCATTGTCGTTAAGTCCACTTCAATTCTCACTTGAAAAACAAAGTAACGTCTGCGAAATGAATATTATTGTAGATGTGGAGCAAATGAAGACTAGAATCTATATGTATAAACACCTCTAACATTCATACCCTCTGAGAGATTAGAGAAGATGGTTCGGAGAATTCTTGAATAAAAAGGGAATAAAAGCAAACTGTGTTCTAATCTAAATCAGATCTGTGCTTTTTTTTTCATTTTAAAACTGGAATGGGAATTCAATAAAACTCTAGATATTGATCGATCCATTGTTATTGTAGACGAAATTCAATGACACTACACTCAATTCAACTTCAGATGCTGGTGAACATTGTCCTATGGTTCCTACTGTCGATTCATCTAAACCATCAAAACCAGACAAACAAATAACTACTAGCTTGTTTATTTTTCTTCTATGTATTAATACTTACAATTCATTCGTTGCATTTGGTATTTTGCCTTCCTTAATTACATACAGTGTATTACCTTATGGACAAAAAGCATATTATTATATTTGTTTACTTAGTCCTCTAGCATATACTCTAGCATTATTACTCAGTGTAAAATGGGCAAATATACCAATTTGTATAACAATCATAGGAACACTAGTTGGATCTATTATAGCTGTTTTTATTATAACTATTGCTTTACAAAGTCCATGTCCATGGTGGGCAGATACATTACAAGGAGCTTTGATTATAGTATCTGTTTGGTTTTCGTTGACAATTATTATTGCCTATCTACGAATTACAACAGGTAGTGTTATTAAAACTAAATGGCCAGGAGATAAAGGTATGTTTTACTTTGGTGTAACCGTCCAATTGGGATTATTCTTGGGTGCTGTTCCTATGTATATATTGATCAATTTTTTCAATATATTCAATGGTCGAAGACCATGTGAAGTTTATTGTATAACATAAGTGTAATGCACTTACTACTAATAGAATAAAATTTATTAGAATTCAATGCTGCTGACAATCAATGAATAAACCATACAAATTCATCTGAAAATTTTTGTTCACGGTTGATAAAGATTTTTTTCTGAGTCTAATTATAAATTACAAATGATGTGAGTTTTGGGAATATGGGAACGAAATTAGGATCCAGACTCAAGTATGAGTTTAAAAGCAAGAGTCTGATGGTTGAATCAAGTAATGAACTCCTGTTAATAAACAGGGGCATCGTGCTTGTTCAAGCAATTCCTTATTTGGATTAGTTGATGATGATGACATTTGTATTAATATTTCAAGTAGCAGAAATCTGCTGCATGCTTTTGAATATCTTGTGTTGTTGTTTCCATACGGTGACAGGGGCTTTGGAAAAATGTTAAATAAATGTGACGATTTTTTCTAGCATTGACATCTTTTTGAACTTGATTGAATAATTCCATATTATCAATAAATACACTAAGAACTTTGATAGAACCTTTCTAGTCGGTTGGTTCACTAAGATATATATATTGAACTTGATTGAAATCGTCCAGCATATCGATAAGCTACGATCAACCATTCCCAAGTCGTAAAGATACTTTCTCATCACAAATGAATGATAAATTCAAAATACATTCATCAGCACTATCGAATATTCGAACACTATTGACAAACGTTTGAACATGATCTTTGATGATCAATTGATCGGGTTTAGTGCTCGCCATGGAATGTAGTGAGACGAGTATTCCATCGTCAACATGACTCATTTTATGACGCTAAGACGAAAATTTCTTACTCAGAGATATTTGACGAGAGAAAATATTCATAGTTGTACCTTCAACGATTATGTTCGCCATACTATTCAAAATATTTAGGAATTCGATATTTGAATGTACAAAATTACACAAAATATTATCGATCTTTTATAATACGAAACATCAGAGTGTGGCGTGTGGGTCATATATGATTATGCTTGTCAGCTCGACACTCACAATGATACCAAGACTCCCATCGACACTTACCTTTCAATAGAATAACAAACAGTAATCTATGACTCATTTTTTCTATACATTGACCTCATTACTTCTTCTATTGCATAAAAGAAAATTTAGTGACAGTCTACATTCGCTTGAGATCAAATAAGAAAAATAATCAAAGATTGAATTGAATTTTAATAAAGCATCTGTCATATATGAGAATGCACTTAGTTTACATGTGTAATTTGAGAAAAGTCGAATAAAGAAGCGCAGCGAAAAATAAAAAAAACCTATGACCAGAGACACAAGCTAATGCTTTTCACAGTACAGGATCGAGCTTTTTCACGTTAATTAAGAAAGTTTCAAAGTTAATTTTCCTCATCATCAGTGTCTGCTTGTTCTGTTATATCATTCGTAAATTCTTCATAAAATTGAAATACAGATTCTTCTTCGCTCAATGAATCATAATAAAATACTACTCCAGGATTATCTCTAAAACATCAAGAACAACGAAGTTTCTTTTAATAATCATAAACTTGACTTACTCAATAACATTGTTTTAGACAATTTCTCAAAGAGATAATCGATTCAACAACTGGATGAGATTCTGATTGACAATATCGTCGAATTTCTATACTCTTATCATACATTTCAATCGCTTTGACACAATCTCCTTTAAGTTCATAACTGTCTGCAAGGGTGGGTGTGGATGTGTGGGAGTGGGTGTGGGTGTGGGTGTGGTTGTGGTTGTGGTTGTGGTTGTGGTTGTGGTTGTGGTTGTGGTTGTGGTTGTGGTTGTGGTTGTGGTTGTGGTTGTGGTTGTGGTTGTGGGTGTGGGTGTGGGTGTGGGTGTGGGTGTGGGTGTGGGTGTGGTTGTGGTTGTGGTTGTGGGTGTGGGTGTAGATGTGGATGAAAGCAAGAGGTGTGCCCACACCCACCCACACCCACACCCACACCCACACCCACACCCACATGAGGAAGAAAAATATCGTTGAAATCGACTCTTGATAACACAGATTCAAAGAATTTACAGTAAACTCAGCTAGATGAAACATAAAAGAACTCTTTCAAAGTTGGTTATACGAAAATGCTTTTCAGCTTATAGCTTTGCTTGTTTTGCCTGAAACTTCTCAGTCTATATTTTCATAACAAACCCAAAGAAATAATCACTACAGAACAAATATGGAACTTCACTAGGATTCGTGTATAGCTGTCTCGTTGACCTAGCAAAGAATGTTCTCTGAACCAAAAAACAATTATCTCTTGAAGTCAATAAAAATGATATATGGGTCATTCCACCGGATCTCGCCAGGCCGATCCGGCGACCACGTCCAAATTTGTTGAAACTTTCAGGGTTTGTAGAGAATTTTTCGCTGATCATTTT